TGGCACCTCCTCAGATAAGCCTTCCTGACCACTTGGCTAAAGCCTGACCCTCCCTCCAGATGCCCTGCCATGCTCCCCTGAGAGATTCTCATGCATGGCACTAGCATAACCTGACTCTGAAATGCTCTTTGCTGATTCCATTACTCGCTTATCCAAGTCTGTCTCCTCTGCTGGAACACAGGCTCCATGAGGGCACATCTGTCTGCTCTTTGCCACATCCTCTGCAGCTGGGATCTGGCCTGGCTCATCGTAGATGTCTTTGGAAGGGAAGGAGGGAGGCCGTGATTCACTAGAGGAAAGATCTCGAGCAGCAGTGTGGTGGAAACTGGAATGCACTAGAACCATGAGTGGGATGTCCCCTTCACAAGGGCCTCATCATGTCACAAATACTAACAGCCAATTCTATGACTTTGACTTGAAGGGGCTTGCAGAGCACCCCACAGACCAAGAAGGTCCACTGTGAGGTCTGTCTGCTCACTTTGGGGTTTCCATAGCAACTTGACCCCAGGGGAGACCCAGTTCCCAGGCTGGCATGAAAGCCCTGTTAATCTTTTTTTTTTTTTTTTAGGATTTGGGTGAAGATTTACAGAGTAAATTCACTTTTCATACAGCAGTTCACATATACTTTGTCTCATGTCATTGACCAAAATTTACAATGCAGCAGCTCCCCTCCCACTTCCTCCCCATAGTTACCTCCTCCCAGTGTCCATCCCTTCATACTCTTCTGCACCCTGAGAGGCCCATTGTCTGCCAACCCTGAGCCCTGTTAATCTTAATGGAGCTAAAGTAAGCTTTTATGGGCCAGCCTCAGAATGAACCACCAATTGTAACATTGCTTTTCTAGGAGCTATGTCTCCAAAGCCCAATGCCCTTTTGAAGGTGACCCATTTGTAAGTTGCAGGGGGCTGATTCTGCAGGCCTGGGAAGGGGTGGCCAGGCTGGAACACACAGATGCTGGATCCAGCTCTGAGCCCACAGCACTATCCCCATCTGAACTCTGCTGCCCTCGGTGTCTGGGCTGCAGATGGTGGTGGGCAGTCCTCTCGGCCCTGCATCACACTCACACCCCCCACTCCACCACTGGGGGCTGCTCCTTGGGCTCAGCCTGAGTAAGGGTCTAAGATGTGTACCTAGAATGGGCTGCTGGCTCAGGAGGAGAGTGTGGAAGAGGGGTATGAGCCCAAGTTACCTTGAGGCTCAATGACCCTCACCCGAAGCATTTATCATTCTCACCTTGGATTCTGGTGGTCCAGCCATATCCATGTGTTTAAGCTTTTCTTTTGGGCCCTGCTGTGACTCTGGTCTCCTCTCTCATTCTGGTCCCAGCCCCTCCTGATCCACACCTCCCTGCCTCCTAACTGCTGTGTCAGTAGAGGGCAGAGAGGGGGTGTGAAGGGGAGGCAGCTGAGGAACCAAGACTGAGAGCTGCCTCCACCTCTGCACAGATACGCATGTGTGTTCAGCTCAACAATCAATCAGTCTGGTGGATGAGGAATAGAGAAGACCAAGACACAGTCCTGGGTCATTAGGAGCTCACTGCTGGGGTTGGGGGAGAGCATAGAGAAGAAGAGAGAGACGTTCTTGGCAATCAGTCCTCTTGTTCCATTTCTGGGACTCATGCCAGGCCTTGGAGAGTCTAAGAACTATAGAGCAGTTGACAATAGACAAAGTTACCTTGGGAAGCATGCTTTTCTCCAAACACAATACCTTCTATAGGATGCTTATCACTTTCTTTCACTCTATAGTTACAACTATTCCTGAAGAGGGTGCATGTGTGTGTGATCTTTACAGCCTGGAAAGGAGCCCGTCCCTTGTCCAGCTGCCCTCCTGGATATCTGAATGGCCAGCAGGAAGGATGGGGCATCCATCACAGGTCAGGACAGGGACTTCACTCTTAGCCTGACCACATGGTGAGCAGTGGCTGGTGCAGTAGCCTGGCAATAGTGAAGCCTGGGTTTGGTCCAGGGATGAGGTGGGTGAGGTTTGTCCATAGTCTGTCCTGGGGTGGGAACTGTTCCCACACTGCCCTGGGTTATGACCAGGGAGACAGGCCAGGCCCCGCCACTCACTCCCAGAAGTCCAAGGCTCACCTGCACCGTCAGTCATGTGCCCCCACCTCCTGCCGCCCTCCAGAGCTGTACACTCACGTTGCCATACTGTGACTCCTTTTCCTAAGCTGCAGGGCTGTTTGGCACAGCCTAGAGGGAAAAGGACCATTAGGCAGCCAGATCCCTTCCAGCAAATACCTAGAGAGAGCCTTGTGACAGGAACAGATTTATTCTGAGCCTCCTCAGAGGGCAGTCCATGGACCAGAGAGGTGGAGTTTCATGAGGAAGAGTTTATCTTGATAGATGAGGAGGAATTGCTCTGTGGTTGGAAGTATCCAGAAATGGGAAGGGCTGCCCAGCAGTAGTGGGTCCCTCTCTACACTTTAGCAGAGACTGGCCCATTAGCCTGGGGTCATGGGCTGTGGAGGGAATCCCTGCCGTGGGAGGAGAGACTCCTCAGACACTTCCCATCCGGAGATATGAAGTCCTCTTAATTTCAGTGATAGTTTCCTCACCCTTATGTTCCTTAAGGCACTCTGGTGGCACAGTGGTTAAAGCACTCAGCTGCTAACCAAAAGGTTAGTAGTTCAAACTTTTAAAGATGAAGCAGTTTGCTTCCATAAAGATTTATAGTCTTAGAAACCCTACAGGGCAGTTCTACTAGTGTCTCTGAGTTGGAATCCACTCAGTGGCAGTGGGTTTGGTTTGGGTTATGATCCTTGATTTGGAAGGGGCCTTATGAATTTGGTGGCATAGTGCCTAAGGCACTTGACTGCTAACCAGAAGGCTGGCGGTTCAAAGCCACCAGCCACTCCTCGGAAGAAAGGTTGGGCAATCTACTTCCATAGAGATACCACCTCAGAAACCCAAGCAGGGATCCGTATGAGTCAGATTCAACTCAATGGCAGTGAGTTGGGTTTTTGGTTTTTTTCATGGTACAAATGCACTCAGCAGCACACTTAGCACACTCAGCAGTCAGCAGCTAACAGAAAGGTTGGAGGTTTGAATTTACCCAGTCCTGCCAATCTACTTCCAAAAAAAGCAGTCCTTGAAAATTCTACGGAGCACAGTTCTTCCCTGACACACGTGGAGAGGCCTGAATCTGAGTCAACTCAGCAGCAGTTGTTTTGGGTTATTGGTATGAACTTCTAGACAATCAAGCATTCTGGGCAGAGCCATTGGGCAAGAGCATGCTTACTGCATCAAAACATCAGTCAATCCTCTCAAGCGGAGGCTGCCAGAGCTGCCCTGCACAGTGGATGTGTGGTGTCTACATGTCCCTTACCCCTTGAACCAGTGGAAGGCGGGGATACCCACACCATACCAGCACAGGGACATTTGTGCAAATTTTTTTTTCTCTCCCCACTTTAACTTCTTCAAAAAGCAGGAGATAGAATGATAATGAGCCAAGAAAGGGAGGTGGAGGGGGACAAAAAAACTTCTGCCTGCCAGTGCCCAGCATTCTGGTGTAACCACCTCTGGCAAAGCCCAAGCCTCTCCAACTTTCCCCAAAACATCCGAGCAGTTTCAGAAACGAGCCTCGTGATTCCTGACCCAGCCCCAACTTCCTCCAGAGAGCAACCAGGCTGGCAAGTAAACAGCAGCTTTCCCCAGCTCGGCCTGCAACGGGGAAGTCCAGGAGTCTCCCAGTGCCAAAGCCTGGGCTGTGGCCAACTTGTCGTCTGCGGGCACATCTCCTCCCGGAGCCCTCGTGGTTTGCGTGAGTCTACAGGCCCTGGGAGAGCAGACCAGCAGAGGGAAGGCAAGCGGCTTTCCTCCTTAGCGTGAAACACAAAAATCCTGAAATCCAGGCTGAGCAACCAAGTACCCTCTCTTTTATAGTCCACATCAGGCAGGATGTTTTGGTTAAACCATGTCACTTTGTGTCACTCAAGATCCATGCCAATCACAGGGGCTTTGTGGCTAGAGCTAGATGGCAGAGACCAGTGCTGGCCTGACTTACAAGCATGGCAGATTTGGGGTAGATGCTCCGTCATTTCCCAAACAGAGTGGGTGGCACCCACAGCACAGTCGAGGACCCCACCTAGCACCCACAGTTCTCCCTCTCCATGTGTGGGGAGGAAGTCACAGACAGAACCAAGTAGGCCCTTCTCTGGGCAGCAGCCTGTGGACAAGGTCTCCGGCTGAGGTGGGGGCTCCATAGCTGCTGAAAGTCTACTGACATCATCCCAAGATGCTGCCACCTGTGGGCACCATGGGGACTCTGGGTGTACCATGAGGGGTCCAGAACCAGGAAGGACTGGCAGCCCTAGGGGGTCCCCACTCAGCCCACTGGGCAGGGATTCAGGCTGGGTGCCCAACCTTGGCATGTGCAGGCCACGCAGGTGGCTATGGTGGTTAAAGTGAGGGCCTGCCAGTATGGCCCAGCCTCAATTTTCTTTATGACTCAAGAGAAACAACCACAGGCACTGGCTCCATGCCCACAGCGACCACACTTACAGTAACTGGGGGCTGGTGGCACACCAGCAAGACCTGGTGGGAGTCACCTCTGAGGCCAGGAAGGAGAGCGAGGGTGCGAGGGTGTGGTGGGTCTTGGAGCCAGCCTTGAGGTCTGCACGTCTCCCCTGGCAGGCTGGCCTTGGTGGGTGTGGCTGGTCCTCAGGGCTCCTGGAGCAGTGTTCTTCTTAACTGAGAAGGCAGGTTGCCCAGCCCCTGCCTCTGTCTGTGGCCCCAGCAAACATTCTTTGGATCCAGCCTCCAGAGAGGGTCTCTTCTGTAAGCCCAGGGGCTCCTGGGGGCTGGGTGAGGCAGCTAGGTGAGATGCAAGTGAGGACCACAGAACCCATATGCATTGATGCTGGAACCACCACTAGATGTTGGAACCTCAGTTCAGGCCAGATGGACCTCTGCCCCTCGATTTGGTGCCACCAGTGCTGTGCTGGCATCCCAGGGGCATCCAGCTGTGCTCCCAGCCCCATCCCAAACCAGGTCTCACTGCTCAGAGGTGGTTGTGGACAAGGGCTTCTCCTTCCCTTCCTCCTCCACCGAGAACATGACATCCCCACAGCTGCCCAGAGGCGGCTCTGTCTCCTGCTCCGGATAGTGGGGGGCATGGTCCACCTCCAGCTCCTCCTCAATCTTGGGCTCCACTGGCATTGCTGGACCCCGACTCTCAGGCACCTCGGTCTTTACCGTCCCCACAATCACTGTGTCAGCCTTCATAATGTAGATTTTCTCTGTAAGAAAAAGGAAGAGTGAGTGGGGAGAGCAGAACCTAGCCGGGATGGGGGCAAGGAGTAGGGTCTTAGCTCTTCCACTCCTGGTCCTCGGGGCCCCAAGTGGGCAACATGACCTCTCTGGGCACAGTAAGCTCCACCCACCTTACAGGTGTACTGAGGCTCAGAGGAAGTAAAGCAGCAAGGAGGTAGACCCTGAGGAGTTAAGAAGGATCTCTCGGTGCTTGTGGGAGATGACACACAGACAAAAGCCGGCATAGATCTTGTCAACAGTAACATGAGTGACCACAAGTAGTAGTTAACATGTGCCTGGCACTCTTCCCAGCGCTAACCCACACTAGGTCCTGGAATCCTCACCCAACTCCTATGAGGCATATAGTCTATTATTTTCACTCTACAGGTGAAGAATCTGAAACCCAGAGGGGATAGATACCTGTCCAAGGTCGCCAATAATTAGTACAAATTCAAAGAAATTCCCACCCTGGCCCTTCTGTTCCCTGGGGGCAGACAGTGGGCAAGGGCCAGGCAGCCTGCCTTCTCCTCTGCCAAGAAGTACGTGGGCAGGATCTGTCCACATGCCTCAAGCACAAACCTAGGGTTACCAACTCAGCCCAGTTTGCTTGGGACTTTCCTGGTTTCAGAACTGAAAGTCCCTGGTCCCAGGAATCTTCTCAGACCCGGCAAATCAGGACAACTGGCCACCCTACAGGAACCTCAAGTAATTAACAGCAGTCAGTGATTCCAAGGGTCTTGCTTTGGGCCCCTAAACGTCAGTGTTTATGACTTCTTGCTCATCTCTCACATGTTTGCTGAGCCTACATAGCACATAGTAAAAGATCAAACCAAACACACAGCCGGAAAGTCAATTCTGACTCACAGCAACCCTATAGGACAGGGTAGAACTACCCATAGGGTTCCCAAGGGTATAAATGTTTACAGAACTAGATCTTTCTCCCTCAGATCAACTAGTGGATTCAAACTGTTGGCCTTTCAGTTAGCAACCAAACGCTTTAGCAGTGCACCATCAGAGATCATTAGCACTGGTAAATATCACTCTGATGAGTGCCCAAGCCCACCCCATAAAGACACAGTCTAGGAGTACTCACCACAATCTGATGCCAGGTTCCAGCACTGACATTTCATAGAGGGGAACACGGAGACCAGGGAAGCTGAGCAAGTTGCCCAGGAAGCTGGGAAGTGCGGAAGCCTGGACCTCTCCCAGGTCACCCACTTTACCCATCAGCAACCTGGGTTCTGATGACCTCAAGCTTGGGGTGGGTCAAGTCCCTCACTGCTCTGTCCTGGGGCTCAGAAGGCTGGATGGGGACACTCTAGGAGGAACCACAGAGCTGGTGTGGGTGGGGGCTCAGAGACCCCTGCCTCTCTGGGTAACCTGGTTCTATCCCTCCAATTCAGGAACCAAAAAGAGACTCGAGGACCCCTGCACCATCAGTCCCATTGTATAACACTGGCTCTTCTGTTTGTTTTTTAATACCCCAGTGAAAGAGAGAAAGAGGTGTTCCAAACAGCAGTAGGATATAGAGGGAGGCCAAGGGATCAGGCAAGTCATGGGCTGGGCGCCCTGAGTCAAGAGAGACACACAGAGCAGGGCCTCAGGCCCCAGCCACACACCCTCCGTCACCCTGGGCCCTGACTGGAGGGGTTGGGCATAAGAAGTTCAGAGGTGGTGAGAAGAGAGGCAGTATAGGAGGTAAGAGAGGGCACAGAGGAGGACAGATGGGAGGGGTGGATACAGGAAGAGAGACCTGGGCATGGCGAAGGGTGGGGTGGGGGATGTTTAGGTAGAAGAAGCCCAAGCTGAGGGTCCCCTGTCATATCCTGACCCTCTGACTCTGCCCCCATCACAAGGCTGCCACCCCATAGTTGGGGAAGGGGTTCCTCCAAAAGCTACTTGGACTTCCTGCTCCACCCAGGGCTCCAGAATCCAGGGAAGCTGTCTTGGTGGGGTACAGGGTGCAGGTGGAGGGAAGGGGAATCCCTTTCCTCGCACCCAGGGGTAAGGGGATAAAGCCCCTCAGTTCCTCCCCAGACCCCACACCCTCTCCTGGGAAGCAGAGCCACAAGCTCAGGCCTGAGACTGGTCTCTCCTGGGAACTGGGGGAGGGGAGATGCATCTTTGGGGTAGTATTGGGAAAACAAGGGGGTCATCCCTCTCTGGGGTGTCCAAGGAAACCCCAAGGCCTTTCCTCCTTTCAAGGCAGGACATGGTACAACCTCCCCTCTCACCAGAAGACTGCAGGCTGCTCCTGCACAGGCCCCAAGCACCCGGGAGCCTGGGACCTCCACATCCTCCTCCCTGAGCACCACCTCCTCTCTGAGCACCACCCCCAGAGTTCCAGGCACTGCACAGTGTAAACCCAAACATTCAAATTAGCAGTGGCATCACTGGGAGGGGGTATACAAACTACACCACGTGACACTGTCAGAGGGGCTGACATTCAAATGACTATCTATCAAATTTTTGTGTAGTGTTTCAGCAGAAATTTATTATTTTTTTAAATAAAAATATCCCTGTAGTTAATTATAACAACAAATTTTTTCATAAGCCCGGCTTAGGCACCAATATACCTACAAGGCTAAAACTCTATGCTAATTTACTTTTAGAATCTTTGAATTCACTCAAGTCAGAGCTGTCATTATTACCCAACTACAAGGAGCTTCAATACAATACAATAGCGTGGTTTCACCTGCACGCTCTAGAAGCAAGCACTGCTGTTTTTGTTGTCATCAGTGTTTTTATGGTTGCAGATTTTGTCAAATTTTCTGGTGTTTTAGCCACAGTCTTGTGGTAAGTAGTATTTGTTAATCTATATCAATAATTTTTTTGAGAATGAAGCAGTAATTAAAGGAAAAGAAAGAGAAAAATCAAAAAAGGCTTCTGCTCAGTTACTAATAATGTTGGAACTAATAATGTTATAATTCAATGTAAAAAGATTTTACAAAGCAGTTGTGTTGTTAGTATTCACATTATCTAAGAAATACTACATTTAAGCAATTTACAACTACTTTTATCACATATTATTCTATGATTGAATTGATAATAAACATTGCTAAGGATTCTGTATGTTCTGGTACGGGAGGAGGTCCACAGCGGGGGGTGGGAGGTGACACCATGAGTTACCACATGGGGTGACACCAACCCTACTGATGCTACTGAAATTAGGACTTCTTAGGAAATTTGAAAGAGAAGCTTTGGGCAGTATTTTCCAATTTTTTTTTCCCCAAAATAAAACTTGCTGAAAGCTACAATTCCAATCATCTCAGTTTGGTCTGAAAGACTCTGCCCTGAAGACTTCCATCCATCAGCATCTGCCACAGAAATGGGCAAAACAAATTACCAAATCAGTATTTTCTGAGGGCCAGTTACCCTGTCAGATAAGACAGAGATGAGCCCATTGAGGGCCCACCCCCAGGGGGCTCACAGCCGAGTGTGAGTGTTGGGGAGACAGTCCTGTAAACACAGAGAAACACAGCTGGACATTGAGGGAACTGGGAGGGAGGACCCGGAAGCCCAGAGCCCAGAGGTGAGAGGGAGAGCAGAGCAGAGGGGCATCTGGCCTAGATGAGAGAGTGGAGAAATCAAGAAAGGCTTTCTGGAGGAAGAAGCACTAAGCAGGGCTTGACAGGACTTCAGGAATTAACTAGATTCAAGGAGGTGGAGTTGGCTGCTCCAGGAGGAAGCAACTCCCACAAAGGTCTGGAGATGAAAGAGAGCTCAGTGCATTCAGTGAACTCCCAGTAAGTGGGAGGGTCAGCCCTGTAGACCAAGGATGGTTGTCAGGAGGGGAGGGAAAGCTGGTGGGGTGGAGTTATAGTTAGGATCCTGATGGTGATGAGAATCACTGGAGGGTTTAAGCAGGAGTGTGATATAGACAGGTACGAATTTTGGGGAAAATGCTGGTTGTACCAGAATGGAGAGAGGCAAAAGAGGAGGCAGGGAGATGGGGGGTGGGGGGGTCTCACAAGGCCTGTCCCAGCTGGAGGGCAGCTTTAGTTCAGGAAGTGCTGGGTGCCTGGGTTAGATCTGGCTGTGGTGTCTCTGTAGCACCTCTGAGCCAAGTGGTGGACAAGCCACGGGCTTGAGTCTAGCAGACCTGGGGTCCAGTCTCACATCTACCACTTAGCAGTTGTGTGACTAGAAAATCACTTCACTCCTCAGAGCCTCTCTCAATTTCCTTAATTAAAAAACAGAGAGAAAGACACTACCCTCAAAAGGCTGTGTGATAAATAGGAGTGACAGAATGTTTGTGACTAGTGGCAGGTCTTGTGGACACTAGTGTGTCTTCCTCCTGTCTCCATATGGGGTTGGCTCTCACCGGAGTAGGGGCAGGGGAAGCAGTCACTTTTTACTTTAATGACAGTAGGCACTGGGCTTGGCACTTTGCATGTATTATATCATTAAACTGTCACAATACTGCTATGAAGTAAGTGCTGCTCCTATTCCTATTTTACAGAAATGGAAACTGGGTTGAAGTTGTGCTGTATAGTAAATACTATTTAACTCTTTCACAAAATGCAGGAGCCCTGGTGGCACAGTGTTAACAGCTTGTCTGCTAATTGAAAGGTCAGCAGTTCAAACCCACCAAACTGCTCCACGGGAGAAAGATGTGGCAATCTGCTTCCATAAAACTTACAGCTTAGAAAACCATATGGGGCTGTTCTGCTCTATCTTTTAGGGTCACTACGAAACAGGCAGGGAATTGGGCTAGTCAGGTCAAACAGGTCCCTAACTCAATACCTTTGGAATTAAAGCCTACATTCAGACCACCACATAATTCTGGCTTCTGGCATAAGAGAACTGATTACAGTTGGTAAGCCGGGTGCTTGGGTGAGATAAAGAAGCCGTAAATTAAAGGGCCCTAAAAGGCACTCTGGTAGCACAGTGCTTAAGGCATTTGACTGCTAACCAGAAGGTTGGTGGTTCAAACCCACCAGCTGCTCCATGGAAGGAAGACTGGGCAATCTACTTCTGTAGTGATACCACCTCGGAAACCCAAGGATGGGTCACTATGAATCGGAATTGACTCAATGGCAGTGAGTTTGGTTGGGTCTTGTTTTGAAGCCTGACCAGTTACAAAATGCTGATAAACCTCCAGAGTTGCCCTTCAAGTTTCTTAACAGGTACAGAGCATGCACACAGGAAGGTCAACATGACAAAGGGACTCTCCACCAGAGGCAGGCGAGAGCAAGAATCGCTCACTGGGGCTCGGATTGGGGTCCAGAAATGTCATGCATACATAACTTGAACTTCAGAACCTCACCCATTTCATGAATAAAGATGGGCCTCTCTCCCCAAAAACCTCTTATAAACCTTAGAAATCCCTTTGATTGGGGAGAGACTGGAGGCTAGCATAGGCAAAAGGCCCACTGTCTTTCCCTCACAAGGCCCTCCCCTCCCCTCTCCTTTCTCTCTAATAAACTTTGGTTCGCGAAGACATTTTGCTTCTCCTGTTGAATTTTTTGTCAGTAGAAGGCAAGAACACCTGTGCAGGGTCACAGGGACACTGGTAACAACTATGAGTTAGAATCAACTCAACTGCTGCGATGTTTTGTTTATTTTTTTAACTTTTTTATTGTGATTTGAGGAGCTATGGTAGCATAGTGCCTAAGGCACTTGACTGCTAACCAGAAGGCTGGCAGTTCAAACCCACCAGCTACTCCTCGGAAGGAAGGTTGGGCAATCTACTTGCATAGTGACACTGCCTCAGCTACCCAAGGAGGGGTCGCTATGAGTCGGGGCCGACTTGATGGCACATAACAACAACAACATTGTGATTCAGGTACATATTTACAAAGCATATTCATTTTACTCACAACAGTTCATGCACATTTGATTTCACATCCCCATCACATTCCCCAACCACAACAAGCTCTCCTTCCATCTCCTCCCTGTAGCTATCTTTTCCCTGTGCCCTTCTTATCTACACACTCCTGTCTGTTCAGCTTTCTCTCTATGTAGATGCTGCTGCCCTTCTGATGTTTCATGGTTGATTGATCTAAGGGGTACATCTCCCTAGGGTTGTTGTCGTTGTTGTTGTTAAGTGCCGTCGAGTCGTTTCCGACTCATAGTGACCCCATGCACAGCAGAACAAACACTGCCCGATCCCGCACCAGCCCCACAATCCCTGCTATACTTGAGCCCATCATCGCAGCCACCGTGTCAATCCATCTCATTGAAGGCCTCTCCCTCTTTCGTCGACCCTCCACCCTACCAAGCATGACATCCTTCTCCAGGGAATGGTCCCTTCTTACAACATGACCAAAATAGGTGAGATGAAGTGTGGCCATTCTTGCTTCCAAGGAGCATTCTGGCTGCACTTCCTCCAGGACAGATCTGTTAGTTCTTTTGGTAGTCCATGGTACTTTCAGCATTCTTCACCAGCACCACAACTCAAAAGCATCAACTCTTCTTCGGTCTTCCTTATTCATTGTCCACCTCTCACATGCATACAAGGTGACTGGAAATATCATGGCTTGTGTCAGGTGCACCTTAGTCCTCAAGAAGATATCCTTGCTCCTCAGCACTTGATACAGTTCTCCCTAGGGTAGGTGGGTGCATCTCCCTGGGGTAGGTGTTCTGCTCACAGGTCTTTCCACTGTTTGGCTGAGAGCTAATCCACAGAACTGAGTCCAGTTCCAGGCCCAAAGGATAACCCCAGGGCCATGGTCTTGGGGGTTCCCCCAATCTCTGTCTGACCAATAATTCTGGCCATTTTTGTGTTTTTGAATTTTGTCCCACATTTTCCCTCCCATTGTATCCAAGATCTCCAATTTTGATCCCTTTCTGAGTGGTTGGTATTGGTAGCCAGGCACCATCTAGTTCTTCTGGTCTCAGGGTCGTGAAGGCTGAGGTCCCATGGTCCATCATATCCTTGGACTTACTGTTTCCAAATGACTTTGATTTTCTTCACTCTTCTTTGTTCCAAACAAGCAGAGACCAATAGTTGCACCTTAGATGGCTGCTAGATAGCTTTTAAGACCCCAGTCGCTACTCACCAGAGTAAGATATAGAACAAGATTTGTATGAAGTACATTGTGCCAATTTAGCATGATGTCCCCCGAGGCTATGGTCCCGAGCCTACAGGCCTGATGCTGCTCTCCCTCAAGGTGTTTGGTTGTCTCTGAGAAGCTATTTCAAACTTGTCCCCTGTTACTTCTATAACGTATGTGGATATTTTTGTAACACAAGTACGTATGTAAGACTATCATCAGCCAAATCTATCCTTGGTCTTGGGTACATTCCTGTTCCCCTACCCACACCTGATCTTCTCACCTGTCTATGCATTTACCCAAAGCCCAGTGTTTGGTGCCACTGGTAATGCAGTATTATGTATGTGATAGTATTTGCTCTGTTGTCTATATCTTTTGTATATGTTTCTGTGTCCTCCTTTTCCCTATTGTCATTGTGCTGGTCACATACTTTTGTGATATTGCCTTTCCCTCCACCCAAATCAACATGTGACTTTTAACTAGTCAGAAATTTTCCCTTCCCTTCCCTGGGTTTGGTTTGGTTTTGACTTTTACAAAAAACATGTCCTACTTCCTGTCCTAGGCCCTTTGGCTCCTGCCCTGAGGCTCAGTGCCCAGCACCATCTCTCTTTCTCTCTCTCTCTCCCTCTCACCCCCTACCAGTATGGCTCTGTCCCACCAAAACCCGAAACTCTCAACCAGTCTACTCACCAATCTTGTTATTGGTGTGCTCTGTGGTCGCCCGGGCCTCAGGGAGGTCATTGGGGAATGAGGGGCTCTCAGCTGGGCTGGCCTCCAGCAGCCTCTTGTTCTCCGGGCAGGCTGTCCCCACGCTGCAGCAGGTCTCCACAGCCGGGGTGCTCACCAACCCCCACTCTTCTGGGCCTGGTTCTGCCACCGACATGCTCCTACAGGGCTGTTGGGGGCACAAGGAAGTGGTACTGATTGGGGTACAGATATGGGTACCCTGATCTTTGTTTCTATTGACAACCCCCCCTCTGTGGGCCTCCCCCTCTGTTTCAAAGCTGCCAGAATCTACCCTCAGAATTTGCAGGCTTGATAGTACAGCACACTTGTGTGTCAATAAGGTGATGTTCTGTTGCTTTCAACTTGCACAAACAACAAGAATAATAGCTAGCAACCTATCAGGACTTAAGCTGTGCCTGGCCCTACCCTAAGTCCTTGACAACCACCCCCACGAAGTGGATAATATTAGCACCTCCCTATTTTACAGAGCAGGAAACCAAGGCCCAGAGGAGTCAAGTAACTTGCTGAGGGTTATGCAGTTAGAAAGTGGCTGGGCCAGCCTCACTCCAGAAAAGTCTGCAAGTGCCAGCTCCTGGCCCACTGTCTTTGGTAGACCTCCCAACGCACCAGCCCCTGGTCCCCAGTAACACTGCAGGAGTGAACCACAGTCACTGGAGACCATGCCATGCAAGAGCCTGGTCCTGCTCCTTCTAAGCTGCCCTCACCCCCACAATGGCCCCGGGGAGCTGGTCACAGGGCAGGGTGCCATTCCGTGTGTTTACAAGAATCAGTGGTAACACTGGCAAAGCCCCATCCAGTGCATGGCACATTGTAAGCACTGATGACCAAAAAACCAAAACCAAACAAACCCACTGCCATAGTGTTGATTCCAACTCATAGCGACCCTTGTTGGGTTTCCGAGGTGGTAAACCTTCACGGAAATAGATTGCTCAGTCTCCTTCTGCAGAGTGGCTGGTGGGTTTGAACTGCCAACCTTCTGGTTAGCAGTCAAATGCCTTAGGCACTGCACCACCAGAGCTCCTATCTTATTGCTGTTGAGTTGATTCTACTCATAGTGACCCCTCCTTGGGTTTCCGAGGTGGTATCACTACGGAAGCAGATTGCCCAATCTTCCTTCTGAGGAGTGGCTGGTGGGTTTGAACCGCCAGCCTTCTGGTTAGCAGTCAAATGTCTTAGGCACTACACCACCAGAGCTCCCAGAGCTCTTATAAGCACTAATAAAAGGTGGATAAAGATTCTCTCACTATTAGGAGACAGCCCATGGTAACAGAGCACAGGCCTTGGAGTCACACAAAACAGGATTCAAATCTGAATTGATCTACTTTCCAACTATGTGGCCTTGGGCCCCACTTCACCTCTCTGAGCCTCCATGTTTCCTTCTGTAAAATGGGACAATAGCCCCCACCTCTGACCACAAAAGATAACTTCTCTAAAGCACAAAGCAGCTGCCTGGTGCATAGTAAGTGCTCAGTACATGGCAGCTAAATTTTTTTTTCTTTAATTCATGCTGTTGGTTTCTTATCCCAACTTTGAGGACACGACTCATGGAGGAATTATGGAGAAAGAGAAAAAATAAACACAGGCTTCCTTCTGACCTGACCTGGCACCCAATGTGGCCAAAACCAAATCCGCCATCTGGCAGGCCCCTCTGGAAGTCCCCGGCAGGCTGAGCCAGGAGCTGAAGGCTGTTGTGGGGGCGGGGAGGAGGGCCAAGCCACCTGGACCAGGCCCCTGTGTCCAGAGCTCCCTGCTGTGGGGCAGACCCAACCTTAACCCTTAGGAGAGCTCCATCCCAGGCTGTTTGGGAGGCACTCAACCTGCCCCACAGGTCTCGGTTAGTGAAGAAGTCATTTTTAGGGGCGTGAAGCTGGAGCAAGGGCGAGGGAGGGACTGCTTACTGTGGGCTTCAAGGTCCTGGAATCTGAAAAAAAAAAAAAAAAAAGCATTGATTTCAACAAGGAGGACCTGGCAGCTCTTGACCCCACCCAGCTGTTGGCAATAGTCCTCTGGATGACCGTTTGTCTGGAGAACAGTGGCTGGGATTTGAGAGTCAGTGTTCCCAACCCTGCAGGCCTGGAGCACTCATCCTCCATGCCAGCCTCACCAGTGACTATCATTGGGGTTTCAGACTGCTTATTCTTTTTT